ACCCTGATTTTAGCTCTACAGTTACAAAAAAATGTCCACAGAGTTTATTAATGTTGCTTTTTTATTCTTTATTTTGCTTCTTCCAACACATCACTGCAGCTACGTGATGCTACGTTACATTTAATAGAAAATACAAGATGTCCTGTGCGTCATTTTATATATTTACAAACAGTGCAACGTGGCGTGTTTGATATTTCAAAAAAAAAAGTTGGGATCTTGTTAATAATTTAAAATAATTTTCTGCTTGTTTGCAGAATGTTTGTCCACCTGCAGCTGTAATGAGGGAACAATCACATGATCCAGCCGGGTTTAAGAGGTTAAAAGAGACCCTAGTCACAAAGATCTACACGGTTATTCCGCCCCACATTATAAATATGATAGATGTTATTGTGAACAATGTTCAGAGAAATTACAGGACGTTTTCTAAAGATTAAGGGCTGCAACTAACGATTAGTTTCATTATCAATTAATGTGCTGATTATTTTCTTAATCGTTTGGTCGATAGCCCAAAAACATTTAACAATTAACAATAACTCAAAATGATCACAAGTTTCTTATCATTTTCTGTCAATCAAATAATAATCTACTAAAAGTCCTGGCTCTACTACAATTCACACCAATTATTCGATCAGATCCTCCAGCTGAGTTCAAATCACGACATGAAGCTATCACCGGTATTTATTATTTTAATATTTAAAGAAAAGCTTCTGTGCTGAGGTGAATGGTGTGTCCTGTCTTTGTCTGGGTATCTGTGTTACAATGTGCTGCTCTTCGTTTTTTTTGTACTAAAGGGTTTCGGATTAAGGATTGTACAGAATCCATCAAACACAACTTTATTAACAATAAGCCTGTCGAGCAGAGACAGTTTCCAGTATTACAGCTTTTGCTAGCATGCCCTTTGAGCACTGAAATACGAAGGCCTTTTTTTCTTACACGAATAGGTGGAATGTATCGGTGATAGATGATGTTCACCTCGTAGGTCATGATGAAGGCGGTTGCGTGTGTTGTGGACATAGTTTCGAGTAAAGGAGGGTGGTGGGGTATCTGATAAAAAGTGTTATGACCAATTTTGGGGAGGGAGGTCGGGGGTTGTTTGATTCGACATTGTCCTGTGTGAAACTCAGCAGCATGCTTTTTTAACCATGCCTATGAAATATGTCTCATCTTTGGTCCTATATAAATGTGCTTGTATTTATTTTTTATAAGTGAATAGATCGACCTTTATAAAAGAGGAATAATTCCGTGCTGCCCTCGAACCATTTCTTAAGTCAAACTCTCCATCGACAGTTTGTTTGAAACAATCATGATTTTCACCATTTTTCTTCTGTGTTCCATTAAAACGGTAAGTTTTCACCCTATTTATCTATAGCAAATATAAAAAGCACATCTGGCTCAGAGCAGAGGCCACTGTCAGGAAGTCAATCAGCTAACACGTTGGGAGAGAAGACTGCTTTAAAGGACTAAAATGTGACTTTACACTGAAATCATACTGCAAGCAAGAACAAAAACATCATGCTGAGCAGGTTTGTTTTTACTCGTACAGTTTGTAGATTACACTGTGGTGCATGCAGCCATTGCAATCCAATCATCCTTTTTCTTTTTGCTTAAAGTAATGGAGGCCAAAATAAAAAAGGGAACATGTAAGTGATCAAGGAATCTTTTTAGACTTTAAAGTTCTTTGTGTCAAACTGTTGTGACGCTGTGGACTCTTTAAACGTTTGGAGTGAAGAGGAAATGCCTTTTTCTTGGACACGCTATCTCCCGGTCACCAAGTGGAACACAGTGTAAAGTAAGATAGAAATAAATTAACCTCATCCGAATGTTGAAACTATTAAAACATGTTTTTTTATATTACTTGCATTTTCTGTGCTTTTGTTGTGAATGTGGTGTTCAATGTTATTTCACTCAAACAAGTTTTACATTAAAACATCTATTTGGAAGAGAAAGAAGCATTTCGAACAACAATAAAAAAGAAAACAGAGAAAAGTGCGACAGTATTTTAAATGTTGGTATAAAACTGTTGCAGCGATTTCTCCTTCAGTCACATCCGAGGTGCTTTAGTGAAGGCCCAACACATTCTGCAGAGACGTAAAACACTTCATTACATCTCTGAAATGCGAGTTAAATCACAATTTCACAAAGTGTCTGACAGTGACAGCGCCACAATGCACCTGACATGCAACCCTAAAACCTCAAACATACAGTGGTTATGTTAAAACATGTGGCGCGAAGATTAATCGGAGCATGCAGAGAGAAGTGTAGCAGTCATGCTAGCAGCTCTGCGATGCTAACATGCCGATGTTTAGCAGGTGTGATGTTCACCACGTTCACCGTCTGAGTTTAGAGTGTTAACATGCTAACAGTTGCTAATTAGCACTCAATACAAGTACAGCTGAGGCTGATGGGAATATGGTATTTAAACATAGACTGTATGAGGAGGATATGAATGTACTGTATGTGCTAAACGTCATGGCAATCCATCCAACAGTGGTAGGGTTGACGAGTCACTAATAGCTAAAAGTTTTAACCTGCTGGGGGCGCTGCAGGAAAAAAAGTCAGAGGATCACCAAAGTAATTTAGATGAATCCTCTGGGGAACATGAATGTCTGTACAAAATGATAAAAGATAACATCATGACGATCCATCCAATAGTTGAGATATTTCAGTCTGGACCAAAGAGGTCATCACCATAGCAAAGTATGATGTACATTATACTACCATAATCTATTTTATAATAATAAGATTCCTTAACTTTGACCTTTTGTCCAAAAACATTAAAGTGTAGCGAGGCTTCGTATGACTTGTCCTGTGAAACGAGAATATAACATGACATTCTTGCTTATCAACGACTTGATTCATCCCAGAAATCAACAGAATTATCATGAAGTCACTAGATCCCAGGATTCATGTTGGAACAAGCTCTCAGTAAACACATTCATGGTACGCCTCTTACCGGCGTTCATGATGATGTTTAACGGTGAGTTGTACATCTGCAGGTGCTGTTGAGGAGTCTGGAGCTCTTCTCGAGTCAAAAGCTGGTTGAGAACCGTCTGAGAGACGATCAACTCATCCAGCACTGACCCAGGAACAGCCTTAGAAAGTGTACATTCAGAGAATAAAAACCTTTATTTTGTGGTCATAAAAACTGGTTAATGTACATCTATAAAAGTAAACGCACCTTAGATACTTCAAGGTGTTCACTCAGTTTCTGCAGCGCTGACAGGACGCAGCAAACCAGAGTCTCTGTGCTCTCCTCCTCTTCCTCAAATCTCTTCAAGTCTCCGGCCATCTGATCTGCCTCGAGCACCTTCAGTCAACAACATTAAACACTCAAACAATACTCATGCATACAGGTTATAATTCATGAGGACAACGCACAGACAGGGGGGGGGGGAATTAGATGGAAAACTCAGAATATAAATGCGTGGAGAAACTTGATGAATGCTTCTGAAGGCTCGCGGAGGAACAACACATTACTACAACACTTTAATCTGTCCCCCAGCTGGATGTGCCTCATGTTAATGAAACCCTCAAAGACCAGAAGATTGAAAAACAACGACAGACCTTGTAGCTCCACTGGTGGAACAGCCTGCTTTGAGGGTTATGTGCCATCAACACAACCTTGGGAGCTTCCAGGAAGGCACTGAGAAGGGATGTAGAAATAATGTGTATGGTTTCATAAACAGTATCAAACAATAACAGGCTGAAAGTTTCAACTTTTCTCTATTCTACAGTGACGTCATTAGGATGAATAGGGACATACCGTATCATTACCCGTCTGGCTGTTGTTGCATGTCTGTGAGGTCTTTCAAAACAGAAACCAGGACGTCCCTAGATGACTGGAAGAAAATCACACAGAGAACTTTACGTGCACGATATCACACTTTACATCTTCATCATAGATAAACAGTAAAACTTACTTGATGATATGCAGCAGACAGGACGGATAAATCAACAGCAGGTCCGTCATATTATCCAATATATACTGTTTGCTGAGCTGAAAGTTGAGTTTTTCGTAATGAGCTGTGTGGAAACAAACAACAGGACAGCTTGTTGCAGTAAACTGAGAAACTGAGTTGTCAAAACATAGCTGCAGTGGTTCCTGGGGCTTTTATTGTGGAATTCCTCGAGCAAGAACCACAAAAAGCTCATACAAAGAAGCCCAAAGACTCATTTACACAAAGAGGTGTGAAAGCTATAAAAACAAGGGAAAGAATACAGCCGTTAGCTGCTCTGATGGCAACTGCAGCACATTTTTGTAATTTTAATAGCTGGAAAATTGATGTTTCTCTGTATATTCAACCGTTTGGTTAGCAAATATAGCAGATCAATACATTTATAACATCAATTACCATCACCCTTCATTTCCCCTGAAGGACAACTGGATTGAACTGGTATAATGGTGATGGGTTCATTGATTAGAATGAAGGGATCCTGTCCAATTGGAAAAGCACTGCCTGATATCAAGCATTGAGCTATTGTGCTCTCGCTGTTTGCAGCTCTAAAGGTAAATTGCTCGCTGACCTCCCAGTTCTGTCCTGTCAGCAAGATCTTGGGGGAGCCGAGCAATCACTACCAGCCGCTGTAGCACAATCCTCTGTAGATGAGACCGTGAAGGAAAGACTTAGAAAGACCTGCAGAGTGACAACAGGAAGTCCTACAGAGTGCTCTGTCACATATTACACACATACAGGAACATGCAAACGGAGGATCATTTCAATGAATATTGGCTTATTTGACACATTCTTAGATCTTAGACTTCAATGGTGAAACAATTATCTACAACTACAATGATCATCTGTCATTTTAAACAAACCGCATCCTCCTCCACAGCCGTCCTCTGTGCCATAAGCTGGTGAAATAAACTAGTCCCAGTTCCCTCCTCTTTCTGATCCTTTGCTCTCATTTCTTCCATCTTTCTTTCTCTATATGTCCGATTCAAGCCCAGAGTGAGTGGAGCCCTCAGTGTTTATACAAGCTCGTATCCTAGAAACCTATTGTTCTCCCGGATGCTTTAAAACAAAGCCTGCTGCACTCTGATGCAATTAACAGGTATATGTTGAGAAGGCAAGAGCCAATCCCAGGCTGGGACAGCCTCGTATTTCAGGTAATGGAAGCCAATAGGAGGAAGCGTAGGTATGGGGACGGCAGAGGACACAGAATTAAGAAGACAGACTTTATTTGGTGTAAAGCTCGTTCCTTCACATGATAAGAGAACTGATTCGAGGGGAAATTATACATTCCTGATTTGGTTTAGTCTGAAAAAAATAATTAAAAAACTTAATTTCAATGTTCAATGTAATTTCAACCGTCAGACTGTCTGTCAGCATCTTCTACACTTCTACATGTTTTTTTGTATTAGGGCATTTGCTATTAAATGAGATCCTTCTAGAAGAATAACTTTCATTAAAATATGGGGTCAAAAGTTATGAGTGTAAAATGCTGTTGTGCCATAAAAAACAGAATGTTATGCTCTTTCAAAACACCCATATACACCAAAGTACTGATATATATATATATATATATATATATATATATATATATATATATATA